GGTGGGTCCCAAGGGTGAAACTGCAGCTGGGTGCCTTGCAGAGCACAACAACAGCCCAGCGAGCCCACAGACAGCAGTATTATCTGCCGTGCCCTCATTCCCAGATAGGAAGGGAAATGATGAATTTTGTTCATTAAAAAAAAAAAAAAAAAAACCCATGCCCACCATTGGGCAACATCTGGAAAATGGTAATTTATGAGTAATGGCTGCATCTGCCCACCCACCGTTAGCCTCACCTGAGCGTGGAGGTTGGCATCTTAAAAAACTTCATCAAGAAAAATTAGTTTCTATGGCAACTAATGGTGCATTTAATAGATGGAGTGATGAGTGCCGTGTATCAGAATTCTGCAAATCATGAATAGCAGTAACAGCTCCAGTGCTACACAGTCACTGCACAGCTGTTGTGCTGAGGTGCTCCGAGCTTTCTGCACAATTAGGAGCCAAGCTATGTTTTGGGGAAGCACCGTGTACAAGCATTTCCAATTCTCTCCCTTTGCAGCACTGACTGCAGCTTTTCTTATTTCCTCCAGTGCTCTTATTGATATTGATTGGACCACAACAAATTTTTACACAGTTTCAAAACTGCTTCCACTTTGCAGGTGCCACCACTGCACCGAAAACATGTTTCCATCTCTCTGCCTGCCTTTAAGTGCTTGTACAGAGAGCTCTGCAGGTGGGAAAACAGAGTAAAGCCAAAGATGTATTTTCCAAAGAGAGGCCCCTACAAAGCAGCATCGCTGCGACACGACTCGGAGCAGATCACAGACTGAGGCACACGCACGTCTGTGACAGAGCTACATCAATTGATCAAGAAGTTAAATGCAACGCCTGGAAAGACAAAAAGGAATAAACATGCACTTTGGTAAAGCACGCAGGAGCGCTGACACGAAGGAGAACAAAACCATTTCTTCTCCCAGGGTCCCAGCTTTGGTATATCCTTTCAAGAGTGACCCATGAGCAGTATTTTCTCACTGCCTTTTTCATGAAGGGAGGAGGAAAAATACAATGCTACCCATTTTGTCTTTTTTTTTTTTTTTTCTGGGAGGGATGGGGTCTCACTGCTACAATCCCTCATGCCCATGAGCTCCGGACACAAACAGAAGGGCCAGACCCAGTGCAGCAATAGCACCATCATCACCAAAGGCTCTCTGGATCCCCAGGCCCTAGGGAGAGCACTCACTCACAGGCAGCCTTTCAGTACCTAAAGGGAGCCTACAAACAGGAGGGGAATCAACTCTTTGAAAGGGTTGATAACTGCAGGATGAGGGGAAATGGTTTTAAGTTGAGGGAAGGGAGATTCTTTACAGAGAGAGTGGTGAGGTACTGGAACAGGCTGCCCAGAGAGGCTGTGGATGCCCCGTCCATCCCTGGAGGTGTTCAAGGCCAGATTGGATGGGGCCCTGGGCAGCCTGGTCTAGCATTAGGTAGGAAGGTTGGTGGCCCTGCATGTAGCTGGGGGGTTGGAGATTCATGATCCTTGAGGTCCCTTCCAACCCTGGCAATTCTGTGATTCTGTAATGATTAACACACACACACATAGGCACACTCAAGACGTGTGACCTGCATACTGAGCTGGGATACTGAACAACCACCTTGCAAAACAAAGACAGACACACCTGCAGCCCTCTGAGAGAGGCTCTTTTTCTCTTTTGATGTATCCAGAGGGAAGTGCAATATGATGGAAAGGAAAACCAGACAGACACTGTGCCAGTAACACTATTGCCACAGTGCAGGAGGCTGGAACACAGGATCAGCAAGGCCTGCTGCCCCTGGGATGGTCCTGGGATGGAGCAGGTTGAGAAGGGTGGTCAGCACTGGGGATGGCAGAACACAAAACCTCTGAAGACTCCCCAAGGGTTACCAACAGCTTACAACAGTGGTCTGAAGCTCACACATCATCAGCATGCTCCTTTCAGCCCAAGAGGAAGGAAACAAGCAGACATCAGAGAAGATGACCTGATGCCTCTGCAACCAGGCTGGCTCCTGCTGACCTCCCCTGAGCTCAGTGCCTTGACATGATCCAGGGAGCAGTGCCAGCACCCTCTCCAGCCAGTCACCAGCTCTGACACCTGCCTGCTTGGCTGCCACCTGGTTGAGACCTCAGAGATCCACAGCAAGAAACTCCACACGTTTTCCTCCACTACTTTCCTTTTTCTATCCTCTACCATTAGCTACTTGGCTTCTAATCTGCCTCTCCACAGTTGGGAAGACCTACTGTGAGCTAAGGATCAGGAAAGCAGGTGAGTGCAGTTAATTGGCCTCAATAACAAGAAAAAAAGTCTTTGCTAAGCAGCATGCATGATTTTAAAGTCTCTTCTTTTGCAGGTGTAATTAACTGTCGCTCCAAACCCCTGATTTTTAAGACGCTCAATTACAAACTCAGCTTGCATATCAGGAACAGAACCTGATTTCAGACAAGAAGTCCTCACAGTCCTTATCCCACCACCTCTGATAAATGTTGACCATCCTCCCAGCAGTACGTTGTCCACCTCAGCACCTCCATCTGCTGCACCTGACTTGCTGTGTTTCCTCTTGCACTGATCCTGTGCAGCAACCTTACATCTGCTGCTTGTAGGAACCATCTAAAATCGTACAATCCTAGAATGGGTTGCAAAGGATCACAATGCTCATCCAGTTCCAACCCCCTGCTGTGTGCAGGTCGCCAACCAGCAGCCCAGGCTGCCCAGAGCCACATCCAGCCTGGCCTTGAATGCCTGCAGGGATGGGGCATCCACAGCCTCCTTCTGTGCAATAATCACTAAAATATTCAAGTAGTGAATTACCTTAAAATGTGGATGGAAGGCAGAGCTCCCTTCAAGGACCAAGCAGGATGCATCCAACAAGCAGCATGAAAAACCACCTTGTGCTGTATTTAAAGCACCCTGCTTGTATTTAAAACACCCAGGAGTAATTATTGACTGGTAAGAGAAGTTTTATGGCAATTGCTAACAGTGAGCCACAGCTTGCTGACTTTACATCCATCTCGATCTCCTGTCTGAGCTCGATGCCTGCTTTTCCCCAATAGTCCCACTGACAAAAGAACACTGCTGAGATTCATCACAGCCTTGCTTAAGAGAAGGCAGATTTTATGGGCACAGAGTCCAAGGGAATGGAATCTAACGGGCTGCAGCTCCCATAGGCAAGCATGCTGAAGTTTAAACACAGCAATGCAAAAAAAAGCCACCACCACCAACAAAAAGTCTCAGCCTCATCTTTGGGGGTAGGAAAGAGGGCTGTAAAACTGAATGGAAATTTAATAGGAAAGGGATAAAAAGGCAAACGTTCAAACGTAGCCCTGCCAAGCCTCCTGTGTTCTGCTGCAGAATCACCCATCTGAGGTTACCACAACTATCCCCAGCTCTCAGGCAATTAATCTGAAAATAAAATATGGCAAATCTTTGAGAGCTGTAACACGAAAGTGAGTGCAAGGGAGCAGACGGAGGTGCCAGATGACAAAGAAAATCTAGAAACAGGTAAAACGAAGAGAAATCAATTTTCTATCCCGAATCTCAGATGAGAAAATAGAGATTTTTTGAGAAGGGAAATAGGGAACCATGCGGTCGCTTTCTTGATAAGAAGCTTTGGTTGTAAAGTGGCTTTTTTTTTTTTGATTCAGCAGCATCATAAGCCTTGTGACTGCTTAATACAGCACCATTCATAGCTGACCCAAAGCATTTGCACATTTGCAGGCAGATAACAGTGTGCTCATTGCAATGTTGCTTGTTGGGAGGGGGGGGAGAGCTCTTTGATTCCTGCAGCTTTGTGCCAAGCATAGGTGAGCCCTGTTGAAGGAGGTGGGTTGGGAAACATTCTCCAAGGGAGCACACTTGAAATATCAAGCTATCTTTATTCTTTCCTGCTTGCACATGAATATGCTATTTATTTCCATCAAAATGCAGTTGTTTTGCATCTAAAAAAGATGTGAAATAAGCCCGGATAAGGAAAGGTTGGGGGGGTTTGAAGGAATGCAAGAAAAGCAGCAGGCACTGAAACATGAATTCTTTACAGAGTGGTGGCCACAGCCCTCCCTGAGCCTGGGACAGATCCTACTCTGCACCTCACTCCTGGAAAGAGCCATTTTCATCTGTAGTAGTTCAGATATTTCAGTATTTGCATGAAACTCTGTTGCAGAGTGGTTCTGAAGGGAGACAGAAGAGAATCAAAAGCTCTTAAGAAAGAAAAAAAAAAAGAACATGAATCAATTGCATACATGGGTAAGTGTAGAGGTGATGGTCTCAGGTTCCACCAGGGGAGGTTCAGGCTGAATGTTAGGAAACATTTCTTCTGCAAAAGAGCAGTCAGGCACTGCACAGACTGCCCAGCAGTGGGGGGATCACCATCCCTGGAGGTGTTCCAGAGCCGTGGAGATGTGGCACTGAGGGATGTAGGCACTGGGCATGGTGGGGTGGGGTTGGGTTTGGGATCTTCTGGAAAAGAGATGTTTTCCAACCTGAATGATTCTGTGATTCCATGTAAAATAACTTCACAAGGTGCACAGGGAGAAGGGATGGTGACGGGGATACCAGGCAGCTCCAGCACAGACGGACCAGATTATCTTTGAATAAATGCTTTAAAATAATAGAGCCAGGCCTGGAAAAGGATAATTTCCTTCAGTTTAATCTCAGTTTCCTGCAGGAGCTCAAAGCCATGGCTCATGCCATGCTCATGGTCAGGATGTGGGCGCTCAGCGAGACCCCCCCAGCTCAGCCCATTTACTCCAGTTTGCACCACCCTCTCTCAGCACTCTGCCTTCACACTCGTATTTCCTTCTTCCAACCTCTGCAGCCCCACATCACATCACAACACATTCCCTGATAACCATTCACTCAAAACCCATCACTTTTTGTGCTGACGATGCTCCTTCTGCAGCACTCCAGCACCGAACCCACAAAACCCCTGGCAAATCCTCCAGTGGATCCTGCTGCATCAACCTCTAACCCCCCTGCAGCAGAACAAGCACAGCAGATGAAACTGTCCCAAAGAGGTGGGTTGGGGCTCACCTGTGGTCGGGGATGGCCGGTGACCAGGCAGGTCAGCTCCAGCGTCTCACCCTCACGGATGGTGTAGACCCTCTCCGAGTAGCGCTCCTCCTCGATGTTGCACGCCAGGCCTGAGTGCACGATACGCACAGTGGGGGGGGCTGCAAGGTGCAAAGAGAGAGCAGTGAGCACAGCACCTGGCCAGACCTGCCCTCCCCAGCAGCAAACCCACGGTAGGTGGCAAGAGATGGCTGCCGTTGCTCGGCCACATCTCGCAGTCCCCAGGGGACAGCCTTCATGAGCTCCTCTGCTTTCTGGTTATTTTGGGCTCCATTTCCAAATGAGCTCTCTCTTATTGTTCTCGTCATTATATATCTTTCTAAACTTATTATCGCGTGCATTATGCAAATGAGGTGCCTTAATTAAACCATTAAAATTAAGCAGGAGAAACGGCGGGGCTGATGCTGCTGCTTCTCAGCATTAATACTGAAATCCTGTTGCTGTCAAAGAGATCGGGGCTTGGAGCTGAACAAACCCTCCCTTTAATTTTCTTGTAAATTCAGTCCGAGCTGCAGGACGTGACCATGTTTTACACATTGTAGCTGTAGGAAAACAGCAACGTTGTTCCTGATACCACATGTACAAATTACAGCTCTGTTTTAGCAATTCTCCCGTGGATATTCCTGGCTGTATCTTTATTCCTGCAGTGTGAAATTCACAACTATTAAAATTTTCAGACTGTGAATCAATAGGAGAAGAAAGTGGAGCTCCAGTTTTAACCCCACCAAATGAAATAACAAAGGCTGAAAAGTAGAAGAGATAAATGGTGATTCTGGTGGGGTTTAAACACCCGGTGGTTTGTCCTCTCTGCTCATCAGCATGCTGCTGTAACGGTGGACAAATGCTTTGGTCCTAACTGAAGCTTTAAATGACCAAGAAAGCCAGAAAGTGGAAGAAAAATAAAGCCCAGAAGGAGTTGATCGTGCTCCCACCATAAAACCTGCATGCTTTTACACCACTGCTCATTGCCTTTCGATCAGCCCACCTACAGACAGAGTGTGCAGCAGTTCCTGCAGCTCTGCATGCAGCTCCAGCTGCACAGAGCCTGGATCTCATACAAACATTGCCCTTAATTTCAATTCTGGCCCTCGTTCTCTGAAGGCTGAAGGAAAGGGCTCAAGAAAAGGAGCAGGACAGTGCTGGGTTAGCTACAGGAGCAGGAGGAGAATGATTATGTCAGGCTGCAATGTCTAAGCCTGATACTCCTCACTACCATGCACTGCTCCCATCCATTTCAGTCTACTATATTTAGATCATTTCTCAATGTGCTCGGCTTAGGTTAATCCCTTCAGCAAGCATTTCAGAAACCTGTCCTCCCTACAGAGACCGGCGTGGGCAGAAGAGCTTTTGCAAGCAATAGATGCTTCCCACATCACAGCGTGCCCCGAGTCTGACTGCACCAGCTCTAGGAGGGACCAGAGCAGCTTGCTGGCACTGCTCAAACCGAACGGCATTGCAAAAAGCTTCCCCACCAGTTTGCAGGCAGCCAAGCACGCCTGCTTGGTCTGCTTTGCCTTCCTCTTGCTCAGAACTGCCTTCTGCCCTCCCCACAGCCCTGCAGAGCTGCTCCTTGTAGGGATGGAGATGCTGTCTGCTGCTTAGGGGAAACAAATAAGACGTCTAGACCACTGGGCTGCTCTTCACTGTCCCTCTGCCATGTCAGAAATATCACAGAATCACAGAACAGCACGAACTGGGAGGGACCTCAAGGATCATGAAGCTTCAACCCCCCCCCACCACAGGCAGGGCCACCAACCTCCACGTTTAATACCAGACCAGGCTGCCCAGGGCCCCAGCTGTGCTCCATGCGCCAGGGCACAGGCATCCCTTCTTAGTTTTGCCACATGGTACGATGAGCTGCACCCCACGGCTGGGTACCATCTCCCACATCCCAAAGCATAAAATGCTGACATGCAGAAGCGGTTCAGCACAGATGAGGAGACTTCAGATAAAATTAGGAGAGTCAGCAACATTACACCGACATCCTGCTGCCTTTTACCTTCATATTATATTAATATTACATTGTAATTCATATTATATTCATATTATTTGAAATTACGCTTGAAGCATCCTTTGATTTAGTGTCTGTGCCACGGCTCCACATCTGTTACGTTTGAAAATGGCAACATAGAAAAGAAGAAACAACTCCCTCTGTATTAGTATAAGTATATGCTGCTTTAAGAAAGATTAAAATGAATGCAAGAAAATTAAAAATATTCTTCCTTCTTTAATTTTAATGTTCCGTGGTTCAGAAGACATTGTGTAATTACAAAACGTCACCTCCTTCTCTTCCCCAGGAATATTCATTACAGCTACTTCTGAAATATGCCTCCAAGGATTTAATGCCAGACAAGGCATGGAAAATAATATATCCTTGGCATTTATTTTGTTTGTGGCACTTCAGAAGTATTTGTCTTGTGATTACGCCCAGTAAAAACGGCACGCAGGAATCCATCACCCGCCGTCCCAGCATTACGCAGGCACAGTGCTCACAGAGCTCAGTGTGAGACAGAGCTGTGACAACAAAACTGAGAACAAACCTCCCCGTGCTGCAAATACACCAAGAGAGTTCTTTCCTATGAAGAATGGTGCCAAGCTGACCTTTCTCCGCGTCTCATTATATATTGATGTAAGATAGGTCCCTGTTGTTGGCTGCTCTTTTCTAGCAGTTTCAATTCATTCCCCCTCTCCTGTACACACACAAGCAAATAGGCTTCAACTTGCAACAAGCTGCCCAGACGGCACAGATCCCAAACATCCAGGGGGGAAAAAGGTGTCGTAAAATTTCTGTGAAGGCAAAATTAGAAATGCCCAAAGTTGAATATAGATGCAGGTATCCAGACGCATTTAATAAAGGCACAAAGGGCAGAGCAGATGCCATGATGAATGTGAGCACAGCCACTTTCCATCAAGCCTGCAGAATAGCATTTGTTTTCTGAACAAGTGCCAAAGTATAAAAGAGTTTTTCTAAGTAAGCTGGCCACCAGAGAAAATAAACAAACAACTCAGAGTCACAGAATGGCTTGGGTTGGAAGGGACCTCAAGGATCATGAAGCTCCAACCCCCCACTACATGCAGGGCCACCAACCTCCACATTTCACAGCAGCCCAGGCTGCCCAGGGCCCCATCCAACCTGGCCTTGAACACCTCCAGGGATGGACGGGGCATCCACAGCCTCTCTGGGCAGCTGTTCCAGCACCTCACCACTCTCTGTAAACAACCTTTGCAGGAGTTTGCCCTTGTCTTTCCCCAGCCCAAAGCTGGGTCACTGCAAGCACTGGGTAGCCCCAAGCTGCACCGGCAACACAACAGAGCATATCTGCCCACGGCATGCAACACATCATTATTGGATCTGGTGTCTGGTTCATTGCATGGCAACCCTGCTCATGGCAGAGGGTTGGAAGGAGGTGATCTTTATGGTCCCTTCCAACCCAATCCGTTCTCTGATGCTACAACTGACTCTGCTACTATTATTCCGAAAGACTTCAAATAAGAAAGAAATCTTTGAAAGAAAATTCTTCATGTCTGGAGGATTACAATGGCCTTTTTCCCATCCAGAACATTCCTACCGTTTCAGAAACAGATACCAACAGACAGAGACCATATGTCATAGATCGTAACTTTTTAATGCTTGCCCAGCAGGAGGGACAATAAACAGCAGCGTAACGAGTTGTAAGGGGGGAAAGAAATCTGCCTGTTCCTAGAAACAGCATTACAGTTCCTATAACTCAATAGATACTGTGCTGATAAGCTTTGTAGTGCCAAAATTAGGTCAGCCTGTGACAGCAGCGTTGGGAAGCGGCAGTGTGATTTAATTGGCACGGTGGCTCCTCGTGTTGGTGCTATCGATCAAGAAGGCTTCCTGAGCTCTGGAAATGCAGTTTAAGCCACAGAGATACAGGCAAGCATTAAGCAACGTGGCAAAAACAGTCCAATCAATGCAAGGAAAAAAAAATGCTCCTCGTCCTTCGCTTGTGAGACTGGGAGGCAAGGACAGCCCACGGACAGCTCAACAACAGAACGAGGATGATTTGTGCTGCTGGGCATGGAGAGTGAGAGCAGGTAGGAAGTATTTCATGCTGATAGATCTTTTTGAACTACAGAACTCTCCCTGCTACCACTTGTCTGCTAAGGCTGCTGAAGGAAACGTATAGTCATAAAGCTATGAAAACAGAAAAAGCAAAGGCTCCCTGCGTTGGATGCCTGGCTTTTGTTCCACACAGGACCCAAAAATGAAGGTGTTAATTGAGACTCTCAATATTTATATAATGAAATGTCTTTGTGTAACATTTCCCATCCCCACTCCCCATCAAGAGTACTACGCTTTTTAAAAACAGAAACAAACTGGCCTAATAATGCATTTATCAGCCAGCTGAACATCAGCTAACCTCCAGCTGGTGTCAAACCCCACATTACCCACAGTAAAATACTCTAAACTCTGTGTTGATGAGAGCTGTTGTCCCAGGGCAGTGCATTCATCATGGTTATACCACCGAGATCCCCGGTCACTTCATATGCAATTAGCAGAATTAAGAGCTGATAAGAGTATGGGAAAACTCCTTTTTGAGAGATGCAAACACATACAAAATTACTTTAGATCACTGCATTCTTAAAAAAAAAGAGAGAGAGAAAGAAAAAAGATTATTTCCTCCTTATTATGCTGCAGAATTGTGCAAAACTCACTGGGGACTTCACTCTTGCTAATTGGTTTTACACAGAGGAGCTCAGAATGCAAAGCACCACTGTGAAATGAAGGGAAGGATAACAGAATTATACTTGGACACAGCCAGGGCTGATGCCTTGCATTAGGAAGGCAGCTAATGCTCTAATGCTAGGGGGCAGTGCTGGCCCCAATGCTTCCATTAGGGGCACATGGCTGTGCAGGAGGACATCGCAGCCCTATGCACATACAGTGACCATGTCATGTCCAAAGTCTGGAGCACACCCAGTTTTCCAGAAAGTTCTTCACACACACATAAGGATCTGTCTGCATGGATCCTGCCGTGAGATTGGGATAAATGTTTTCCTGCAGGAGGTAAAGCATATTACTCATAATAAACACACACTTCTAACAGAATCATTATGGGTTTCCTATTTCATA